TATTTCACAGCCTACTTGACTACTGGCTGTTACAGGGGAGCCCATGGGGGAATGCTGGCCGGGGTTCCGAGTGGAGTGGCAACAGCTGTTGCTAATAATACATTAGACAGCTGAGTGGATGCTGCTATTGATGAGGAGGCCGGATTACATTTCTCGGAGACAACCCAGTGCCTGGCTTCCTGATGGAGGGGGAATTCCCTTCTAAAGGATGCCCCGGGCAGGACTCAACTCTGTCCTAAAGGGCTTGTGGAACCACACAAGTGAGTCAGTCAGTGAGCATTTATTGAGTGCCTGCTGTGTGCCCTTGGCTGTTTGCAGCAGTTTCAGGGGGTGTGGACCAGGGTGGGTCCGAGTGGCCAGAGCCACTGTTCCAGGCTGACCTGAGTCACCCGGCGTCTGGGTGGAAAAGGAGACTAGCTCTGTGCCACGGCTGGAAAGTTCAGCCAGTCACTGAGAAGCAGAGCCAGCCTGGCTGAGGTCAGGTTGCCACTGGCCGCTTTCTGCTCCCTGGCACTGTCCTGGCACAAACGGTCCATCCCGTGCGTCACTCGGGGCTGAGGCTGAATCACGGCCCTGCTCTCTCACCGGCTGTGCCAGCCCCTGGAGCGTCTTCATTCGGGAAACACAGACCCATTTTAATACTAATTTAAACACCCGTTTCTGGGAAAACCACTGATGTCAAGAAAAGCCAAGTGTCCCAAATCAGGAAAAATGAACCTAAAACTCCTCGCCGGTCCCCCGACAGGACAGGGCCCGTTTGCAGAGCGAGCTCTCCAATAGTTCCTTCTGCTATTTCCTGAGCGCTTGCTCTGCACCAGGCCTTGGCCCGGCACGTCTTGTCCTCGCTCTCACTTCATCCTCACGCGAGCCCTGAAAGGCAGGGTTGACACCTCCCGTTTCCAGGTGAGGGGACTGAGATTGAGTAACTTGCCTCGTGCCCCACAGCTGGGCACTAGCAGGTGGCCACTCCCAGACCTGGCCTTGACCACTGGGCTCTACCGCATCCTGTATCTACTGTACCCAAACCTCAGTAGCTCTCCACTGCCTTCCAGGGTAAGCCTGAATTTCTGGCATTCTCTCAGGCATTCCCGCCTGATCTTCAGCCGGTGGTTTTAAAATATGTCTATGAAGCCAGGCCGGCGTGGCTAAGTGGTTAAGCGTTGACCTATGAACCAGGAGGTCACAGTTCGTTTCCTGGTCAGGGCATATGCCCGGGTTGTGGACTCAATCCCTAATGTGGGGCGTGCAGGAGGCAGCTGATCAATGATACTTTCTCATCATTGATGTTTCTGTCTCTTTTGCCCTCTCCCTTTCTCTCTGAAATCAGTAAAAATATATTAAAAAAATAAAATATGTCCATGAACATTGTTAATGCTACGTGAAATCATACCATATAATCTCACTTATATGTGGAATCTGATGAACAAAATAAACTGATGAGTAAAATAGAACCAGAGGCATGGATGGATACATGGAGCAGGCTGACAGGTGTTGGGGGGAGGGAGGAGGGGGGCAGGGAGGGGACTGCATGAAAAGAAGGTGAGGGATTAGCTGACATCCTTATTGGAACCACCTGAGAAACCCTGAGCTGGAACTACACAACTAAGCCACTTCGGAAGTCCTGACCCACAGAAATTGTTTTGAGTCACTAAGTTTTGGAGTAATTCGTTACACAGCAATAGAGAACTAATACACTTGACCTCTCAGCCAGAAGGGCTTTATGCCTCTGGACCACTGGTCATCTGTAAAATAACCCTGGGTACTTTGTCTCCTAAGTAAGATCAAGTACCATGGAAATTGGGCCCTTGCCTAGTATTTCCAGCGTCCAGTGCATGCTTTGCAGGGGCTTCTTAGGTGAGGTTAACTGATGAACCCATACAAGGGCATTGTCTAAGAATCCACCTGAAGTATTGTTTGACTGCCAGTTGGCACGGATAACAGAGTGAGCGGAATTTGGGGGTGATTCAGGAGAGCCCCGTAGTCTATAACACACCAAGCCAAGATTAGACCTGGACACAAGTTGGCCTGAATCCAGGGACTTCCTTTGGGCACCAAAGGCTGTCCTTGTGTCCCTGAACACACCCTGTCATGAAAGTGGTGGAAGGGCCTATAGTGGGAGGTGGGGGCAGTAAAAAGGAAAAATTTATCCTTACCCTGTAATTCATTTCGGCATGTATCCTTCAAGATCTATTTCTCTGGGTGACTCATGTGTATATTTACATGCAGATATATCTATATCTATTATCCACGTATCTATGTATCCATGAATCTATCTATCTCTATCCATCCATCCAAGTAGGTTTTTTTTACATTTAATTTAAAAAAATGGGATCATGCTCTAGACCAGTGATGGCGAACCTTTTGAGCTCGGCGTGTCAGCATTTTGAAAAACCCTAACTTAACTCTGGTGCCGTGTCACATATAGAAATTTTTTGATATTTGCAACCATAGTAAAACGAAGACTTATATTTTTGATATTTATTTTATATATTTAAATGCCATTTAACAAAGAAAAATCAACCAAAAAAATGAGTTCGCGTGTCACCTCTGACACGTGTGTCATAGGTTCACCATCACTGCTCTAGGCTATTTTTTTCACTTGTGTAGTTGCTCAGATACTGCTGTAGAGTACATTCCTAGAGGGGGTTTACTGGACCAAAATATGCGAACATTCTAAAGGCTTTGGGCACACCGTGCCCGATCGCCCTTCAGAAAGGTTGTGCCAGGTGCACATGTACCTATTGCCCCTGTGTCCTCAGCTCCACATCCTGGCCAGCACTGGGTTTTCTCTTTAATGTTGGCCAATCTGATAGATGAAAGATGTTATCTTATCTTAATTTCTTTCATAACCAGGAAGGTTGGGCATGTTCCTTGTGTTTATCGGTCATTTTATCTTTCTCCTTGAGCAAATTGTTCATGTCCTTTGCACATTTTTTTTTTGTTTCCCTTACAAAACCAGTACTTTATTCCTTTTTATGGCTAAATATGATTCCACTGTATGGATCTGCTGTAATTGTATAATCATGAGTTGGTGGATGTTTGGGTTATTTCCACTTGTTGGATATTATGAATATTGCTGCTGGGAACATTGGTGTACAAGTTTCGTGTAGACATACGTTTTTGTTTTTCTTGGGGGGTATATGCCCAGGAGTGGAGTTGCTAGGTCAAATGGTGAATCGTTGCTTAACTTTTTGAGGAACTGCCAAACTGTTTTCCACAGTGACTGTACCATTTTATACTCCCACCAACAGTATACGAGGTTCTAATTTCCCTTGGTTCTTGCCGATACTTGTGATTGTCTTTTTGGTTACAGCCATTCCAGTGGGTGTAAAGTGGTCTCTCATTGTGGTTTTGTTTCGTATTTCCCAATGATTGATGATGTTGAGCATCTCTGCATGTTCTTGTCTACTTGTATCACTTCCTTGGAGAAATATAGTCTAGATACAAATCTCTTATCAGACATATGATTTGCAAATATTTTCTCCTGTTCTGTGGATTGTCCATTGAAGCACACACATTCTTAATTTGTGAAGTCTAACTTGTTGTTCTTTTCTAAAACAATGTACATGCACACGTGGGGTTTCCAGACCCTGCAACCTGAACTGCTGGTGGGTCAGAGACACTCCGCCTCGTCAGGTCGGCTTCGGCCTGGGAGAGGCCAGCTGGAGCCTGCCGCAGGGCTGGGGCTCCCCGGGTGACTTCACAAGGGTCCCTCCCATGGCGGTTCTCTCCTGAGGACTCAGGGCAGCCGGGCTCCAGGTGGCTCTGGCCGTTGGTGCCTGCAGAGGAAGGAGAGCGTTTGGATGCTCTAGCTCTGCACGGAGAAGTGACAGGGGCACAGTTGGTCCTCCTCATCTCTGCTTTCTGTTCTTTTCTATCTCTCTGGGCGCTCATGAACTCATGGCTTGCCAGGGCCCAGATGTGGGCAGTGGTGTTCAGACAAGAAAGTGGGGCTGTTTCCACAGAATGGGAAGTGGGGAAACCCATGTTTATTTTGTTAGGGTAGAACTTTCAGCCCCTCACACCTTCATCCCACTTCCTCCTTCTCCTTTTTGTCTCACCTGGAGTTTACAAAGGTGGTACCCAAGTAGGATAATGATTTGGACTCACGTAGTTTGAGATTTTTAAAACAGCCCACCCAGGCCCCCGGAGGCTGCCATTCAGTGGCTCCAGGCACCGGGCAGCCACTGGCAGAGACGGCATAGCCAGGGCCCAGGCCCCACCGCTGCCCTGGCCAGAGTGGCTCTGCTTCTATTGCCTTTAAAAAAAAATCCTCACCCAAGAAGTGAAGATATTTTTTCTATTGATTTTTATAGAGAAAGTGGAAGGGGCGGGAGGCGGGGTGAGGGGGGGGGGGGAGAAAAACATTCATGTGAGTTCATGTGAGAGAGACACATCAATTGGTTGCTTCCTGCACGTACCCTAGTGGGGTGCGGGAATCAAACCTGCAACCCAGGTGACATGCCTTTGACCGGAGTTGAACCTGAGACCCTTTAGTGTGCAGGCCAGTGCTCTAACCATTGAGCACCTTTATTTCTCTTCTGTATTAGAGTTCTAAGTGAGATTTTGTATAAGGAGATGGAAGGGCTGTGTTGGCAAAGCAGTTGGAAAACTGCTCGTGGTGGACACCTTGCCCCCACTGTTGGGTTGAAAACACCCCAAACGCGAATTCTGCTGGAGGCCGACTCCGGTGCTTCTCTGGGGAACTCAGATTTTCCCAGAGGCCCCCACGCTCCTCTCCGTTGACAGAGACGGAGTGGCTGCTCTCCCCGTGGCACTTGCCAGCCCCCATGTTTAATTTTTTCTTTTGTTGTATGGGGTGTTCTGGCCCTGCAGCTCTGCGAAGGCAAAATCAAATTATCTTCAGTCTTGATCCAAATACGTTTTGTCTCCGGGAAAGCCCTGGGCTAGGGAAGCTTTTAGACGATCGGTGAGGCGGTTTTCTCAGCAGCCCTCCTGGCGGACACCCCACCTTTCTCTCCCCTCTTTGTGTCTTTCAGTCGGCGGAGTTCTTCGAGATGCTGGAGAAAATGCAGGTGAGCATCCATCCCCAAGGGGGAGAGCCGAACCCTGGGTCGGGGGGGTGCTGCAGCGACCTCGGGGGACACGACACCAGGCAGAACCCACGGGCAGAACGTGGGCACCTTGGAGGGAGGGGCAGAGAAGCGAGAACTCACCGTCCCCATGGCCCGGACAACCCGAGGCCATTTCCACATCGAGTGGCACAGTGGCTTCTGGGACGGCTCCTGCCTGAAGACCAGGGAGAAGATAAAAAACAGAAACTGCATGCAGAGTGGACGGACGGGCTGCCATCAGCCCCACGGGTGTGGGGAGAGTTTGAGAGATGTTCCTGGAATGGGCTGGAAAGAAAGCCTCAAAAAGACAGCCCCTTCGAGGGGGCCTCATCCTGTGCTGGGAGGCAGAGCGGAGGACGAGAGATAGACCTGAGTTCAAACTCTGCATCTAACGCTGGCTTGCCAAATTCCTCCCCTTTCTAACCTCTCGCTCCTGTTTTTTGTTTACTAACAGACGTGTTCTCCCCTCACTCTGACACCAAACGTGTGGTTGTGTTCCCCCCACCAGACAATCTGTGCAGCCAGCTGGGTTCCACGCAGTTCTGACGCTGTCTCCCTGGAGGTAGTGTCAGCTCCCACAGGGCACGGGCACTGCCCCGGGGGCTGCCTCCGCTCAGATGCCAGTCGCAAGTCCAGGTTGCCACTTGGGCTTCTGACCCTCCGGCTATAAATAGGAGGTCCCCACGACCCCCTTTTCCAGTTCAATTAATTTGCTAGAGTGGCTCACAGAACCCAGGGAAACGGTTTACTTACCAGATTGCCAGTTTATGATAAGGACACAACTCAGGAACCGCAGCTGGAGGAGAGGCATAGGGCAAGGCCTGTGGGAAGGGCAAGGCCTGTGGGAAGGGCCCGGAGCCGCCATGCCCTCTGAATGCCCCACTCTCCCCAAACCTCCACGGGTCCACCAACCCCAGACGCTCCCCAAACCCCACCCTTTTGGGTTTTATGGAGGCTGCATTAGGCATGATGGATACAATCACTGGCTGTGGGGGATCGTCTCAACCTCCAGCTCTCTCCCCTCCCGCGAGAGTGGGAGTGGGTGGTGGGTTCCCCTGTCAGTCAGCTCCATCCTTCGGAAAGTCCCGGAAGACACCTCATTAACATAAACTCACTGACACAAACTCCTGGGTGACACTCCTTTCGCCGTTATGGCTCTGGAGCTGTTGCAGGAACCAAGGACGAAAGACCAAATCCTAGAACAAAACTGCTCCCAAGTGCTCTCATTGCTCTTATCACTTGGGAAATTCCAAGGGTTTTAGGAGTTCTGTGTCAGGAGCGGGATAAAGACCAAAATATGTATTTCTTACAATAAATCACTATCACAGCCTCTATAGAGATAGGAGAATGAAAGTGTCCACTTGCATCGTTTCTGGGATGAAACAAGATGATTTTTGTAAATACTTGGTGGGCAGTGCATAGAATCAGCGTTTAGTGTGGAGGCCTTTGTAATTGCTCATCACCAAGAGGTCAGGCTTTCAGGTAAGACCCGCTGCTTTAAGGAATATGGGGAGAGGTCCAGAAGGTATACTTGATCCAGGTGGAAAGAGTGGCAAGAACATACTGATAAGTATATTTTAAGCACGGGTCTGGGGCAAGAGGTTGACAGGTGTTATCTCATTTCTTCTTGACAAGGCCCCCAGGAGGCAGGTATGTTGTTATCATCATCATCACATCATTCCCATTTCACAGGTGGGAAAACTGAGGCACAGAGATATTAAATAAAACACGCAAGGGCTCATGGCTAGCAAGTAGCTCCAGAGCCAGAAGGCAGTCATTATGTCATGCTTCTTCCCTGAAGTAGATGCTCCAGGCGCGAGGAAGGAAGGATCTATAGGAATGGTCTGGAATAGGAGGAAAGGCACCCAGGGTGCCCACTGCCGTCCTGAGATGCAGGCGGAGCTTCTGAGAGGGCTGCTGCTGTGAGCGAGCCAGGTCCTCCCCGGAAAGCAGGTCTCCCTAAGGATGGGGAAGGGGAGGGTTGGTTTGAGAGAAAAATATTCGTAGTGGTTGTGTCCTTATCACAAGCAAGTTATTAAGATCCTCCTCTGTGCCCAGCAGAGTGTGGACGACCAGCTAACTTAATATGTATTCATACGCATTTAGGGGACTTACAGCCAGGTGGCGGGCACGGAGATGGCAGGTGCCTTGACAGCGAGTGCCTATATAACGGAGCGCTCCGTCCGCTGGAGGAAAGCCGGGTCTCACCCAAGCCCGCGGAGTCGTGGCAGTCTGGGCAGCTGGCAGGGCGTCCGCAGCGCACCCTGCCTTCTCTCTGGTTTCTCCACGACCACCCACCCCTCGCCCCAGGGAGCACCCTGTTTCTCTGTTTGAGCACATGATTCAGCCCTGCGTAACCGGCCTTGTGCTGTTCTGTTGTTGGGAGGCCGCGGGCTTGACTTCGTAGCTCGATCGGGAGGCTCTGCAGGGCGGGAGTCTGGCTGCGGCTCCCTCTGTGTCTTCACAGCAGCCCACACCAGGGGCGGCTGCTGACTCCATGGCAGTAGAGACTTTGGGGGTCAGATCAGACTCAGTGTTTAGGTCCCTACCATGTGCCCCCTGGGCCCCAGCCTCTGAGAGGCCGGGGTTTCCAGCTCCTCTGTATGTGGGGCACTCACATGGAGAAACTCAATGGGGATTCTGTCCCTGAGTGTGGGTGCCGTCTGGCCTCGTGCTGCAATGTGGGGCCTGAAGCCCAGCAGGCAGGCGCCCAGGGCCCTCTGTAACCCAGGACTCCTGACCCCAGCCCTAGAGGCTGGGAATTTGAAGATGGGCACAGGTTCTGTGTAGCACAGTTTTGGGTCCCCTCTGTTCTGGGTTCAAGTTCTAACGCTGACAGGCCGAAGCGGAGTGACCCTGGTCAAGCCGTTCGACCCCCCTGAGTCCCAATGTCTTCATGGCGGGGGCGGGGCGGGGAAGAGAGATAATGAGGGGAGAGGGCCCAGTGCCGGCAGTGGCTCTGTCATGGTGGAGGGGAGGGGACAGGAGGAGGTTTGTTCTCCGGCCCAGGGGCTGTTCCCAGGCTGGGATGACTCATGCAGGACAAACAAAACAAACTTCTGACGTCACGCCCTTCCCCACCCGCCCAGTTTGCCTCCCTGGACAGGGTCTGCAGGCCACCCAGGTGGTTTCCTCCCTGTGTGGGGAGAGGAGCACCTGCCCAGTGGGAGGGGCCCCCACACCCACCTGACCAGGGCCACAGGGTGACTCAGCCCGGAGAGGTGGGAGGAGCTTCTAGTCTGCCCAGGGAGCAGGAACCCTGAGCCCGAGGGCTCCGCGATTTGGTCATGCGCTTGGTGGACAGATGGCCCGGCTTCAGAGCCAGGCCCTTCCACGCACTAACTGTGTGACATTCGGCAGGCAGCTTCCTCCCTGGGCCTCGGTTTCCCCTTTGGTAAAAAGGTGCTGAGGGCTTCAGAGGGGATGGTAGAGGGAGTGCGCTGTGGAAGGTTCAAGTCCCCGGTCTTACATTATGACGAGGCAGCAGCTGCTTCCGGACTCTCTTCTCTCCTAGTTGTCCCACCGATGATGTGGATTGATTCAAAC